CATGCTCAGCAGAGGTTGCGGACATAAGAAAACGAAAGCCCTGAACGACCCTACACCGGCAGGCAGGACATTCGAGGTAAGCGGTTCAGACCTCCGCGTATACATCCCATCTTGGTGCCTCGGCGAGTTTAACGGTTTACAGCTCATTCCCAAAACTCACACACCACAAAACGCCCGCACCCACAAGCGCGTCACCAACGCATTCTTCGCCTATCACTCCACCACCACCATCCCCACTGAGAGAATCTGCAACCACCTCGGCATCGCAGATGAACAACTGAAGGACGACGCCCTGGCAAAGATCATCAGCGCCCTCCAGTCACCCACCCCAAGCGAACCTCATATCGATCCTGACGACCACCGAGCTACGCTTTTCAAAAAACATTTCCACCAATTTTTTCTAGAACCAGGCACCTCCGTTTTGATGATAAGAGACAGTAAACACTCTCCGAGATTGGTTGTACCATACAAACTACGACCCAGATACCTCTACCAGGCACACGAGGGCAACAACCACTCAGGTGTCACCCGTATGCGAGAACTCCTTTCCAGCTACTGGTGGGAATTCAAAAACCGCGACATCAAGGCCTATGTCGATTCTTGCGACACGTGTGCTAAGTGCAAGGGCAACTACGGTAGACGTACCCACTGGCCCATTGGCCACTGCAAACGAGGAAAGAGACCATTCGATCTCGTCTTTATAGACTTTGTCACAATGCCCAACTCAAAGGGAAAACGCTACATCCTAACCATCTTGGATAGCTTCAGCCGACATTTTACAGCCATACCATGCGCGAGAGACCGTGCTATCGACGCCGCCCGCGGATTGTACCATTTCTTCCTTCGACACAGAGAGATTCCACGCATAGTATCCTCTGATCGAGGCACACACTTCACTGGAGAAGTCTATCGACAATTCTGTAACCAGATGTCAATCACGCAAGAACTTCACTGTCCTTGGCGCCCGCAAAGCTCAGGAAATATCGAGAGACAACATCGCACGATGAAGAACGCACTTTATATGTTATGCGAAGACAGGAACTGTGAATGGACAGACGTTCTAGAATCTGTCGTTTCGTCCATGAATGCCACGACCAACAGCGCCACCGGTGTCTCCCCGCACTATGCCATTACCGGCCGTCACCCCAACATCGGCCTACCTACACTACACAGAAAAAGAAATCACAAGCGACGATCCTGGAGCATATGGAATGCAAATTAATGCCCTGCTAAAGCAGGTTCACCACCACGTCACCCTGGCCAACGATGAAGCTGACCACAAACTTGAGACTAACTTAAATCGCCTCACATACAAGGACCCAATACAAGTAGGCGACAAGGTTTTACTTCATCGGCCACACTCAACTGTTGCCCAATCCTCTCATCTGCCCTGGATAGGAAATTACACCATTATAAAAACGAACAATATGATGTGTCAGGTGCAAAACGATGATGGTGATACAATCTGGATTCACCGTGCACATATCCGACGACTGGCTCCACGCCCAACACATCTTTCTAATACAATCCCTCTGCCTCCACCATGTAACAGTCACCAGGATCATTCTCCTCCACATCCCTCGGGGACACATAATTCAGCAAATAACCCCATACCAAAACAAATGCCAATAAGAAGAACACGAGGACAACTTCCCACACGCTTCAGAGACTTTATCATGAATTAATCACCCAAATATACACGAATAACGCTCACTGTAAATGAGACCGAGATCTGGGGAGCCTTGTTATAAAATAAAATAAGACATATCTCGGCTGATTTACAGGCAAATACTCAAGAGCGAGAACCGGATGTGAACGGGACAAAGCCCCCGTCACAAAATGACCATTATCTTTCTTTACAAATGTTCCCGACACACGTGTTCCGGTCGAAAAATAAAAAATAATATTTAAAGTGCTCTATTTTTCGTCCAATAAAAAATGCTTCCCTCCTAATTATACTCGCTTCGTTTTTCGAGCCTGTTAAGCCAAAAAAAAAACGCTATAAAAGGGGTCACACGGAAGTTCAACAGGCAGTCAACAGGTGCCCAAAGAGACCGGTCACGGTCAGCAGCTGTCAGCAGCAGGGAGCGTCAACCACCGTCAACATGTGTGAACTACTATGAGAGATCGACCAGATCCGAAAGCCGGCTTATGAACTTTACCACAAGGTAGCTGTCCCAAACCCTCACGTTCCTGTTGAAATAAACCACGTAAATCTATTTCTGCTGTTGTCGTATTTCTTTCTTGCAACCATAAATTTTACGAACATTCCAATGGGACGCCAAAAACAAATTTAAACATTCAAGTAGAATTTTTGTTAATTCTTTGTAAATACTGAATTTTTGTTTAAATACATATTTTAAATGAAATGAAAAGCAAAATTTTATCGGTCTTTTTTGTTTTCAGTCGAGAATTTACATCTAATTTTGGAAATAACTTTGAGTCTGAATTTTTTAAAGTTGGACCTTCTAGCAGGAAATTAAACAGTTTGTTTTATATAGTTAATTCAACGAAATGTTTTTTACACGGTCCTCTACACAATGTCTTTTAAAATTTTTTTTAAAGAAATTGAAGAAATTATTAGAAATTCCTCCGATAGTAGAAAAAAATTTTGTTTGAAATTCGATAAAATTAATTTCACTTTAAAAAACTGAAATAAATGTTTTTCAGGCTTTTAATTTTTTAGTCTAGGTTTTTTAATAAAAGACCAACTCATCTTTTTAAAAAAAAACATTTCATTTTTTTGGAAGGAAAAACTTAAAGAAAAATTGTCCATTTCGTTTTGAATTTGAGTTAATCTAAAAAGATTTTTCTTAGTTTTAGCCTAATTTATCCTTAAGCCAGACGGTACAAAGAAAATTTTCAAAAAAATTTCCGTTCGATATTGTAAAAAAAACACAAATGCATGTGATATCCTTAAAGCATTGGAATTATTTCAGTTTATTTATCTGTTTTATAAAAAACGATTTTTATATCCGTAACCAAATTTTTAGACCTTTAAGAATAAAAAAAACAATTGGTTCACTTTTTTGCGAATCTCCTACCAATGTGTTGTGAAAAGAACAAAATTTTTGAAATAAAGAACAATTAAACAAGACATAGAATAAAGATTCATAAACATCTTGTTTCAAAACGTAAGAAAATTGAATTTATTAATATTTGATCTTTACATGTTATTTTACTGAGTGAAAAAGTTATACAGGAATAATGTCTCTTAGATTAGGTAATAATTGACTGTTAAAAATATTATGAAAGAAATTATTATAGTTCTGAAGAAGAAAAAAACACTTTCTTTAGCATGTTGGAATTGTGTATGACGTACAAGAAAAAAGTTTGGAACATGATTTCAACAGTTGTGTGAATGTTGGTAATGGTCTTTAAATTCTGACTACATTAGTTAAGAACGGGATTTCTTGAAGATTAGATCTCTGGAAAATGAGACGCAGAGAGATGAATGAAAAGAAAGTTTTGGGGAGTTTATACGTGTTTTGTTTTGATAATTTTGTCCAACTACGTGGGAGGCTCAAATGGAAATAGCGGGAAAACAAATTTGTCGCATTGCAGGATATTTATAAAATTGAACTGACCAATCAACGAGCTAGTTTTGATTAATTAACCAATGAATGCTTGGCATTGTATGTGATTTGTAAATGTTCGTGCGTGATAGACTCGCACACTATTTTAGAAAAAAAATCCTTTCAGTCAGTTTAAATCTGAGCAAAGTATTGGGAATATTAAAATTAAATTTAATTTATTAAAATAAAATTAAAAATAAAATAAAAGGTCCAAGAAAGATTTTTCATTTTTAAAAATTCATAAACCTTCTTAGCTATCGTGATTTCTGTGGGGATACATAATTAAGTTTTAACTGATAATAATAAAAAAAAAAACGCACTCCAATCAATTTATTTTAAATTCACTTTGTACTTATTGGAAATTAAAATGTAATCTATTAGATTGAAATTAAAAATGAAATAAAAGCTTAACCCTTAGATATCAAATTTTTTTTTTTTTTGAGATGGACTTATAAAGAATTTGCAAGGAAAAATGTTTGTTAAACTCAGTCTTCTTACGTAGATATCACCACTTTACCATTGGAAGATCGATTATTAAGAAGAGTTACACAAAAAAAGGTCATTTTTTTTACTATTACAACCGCCCATTTATTGACCTGCTCACGATCAATTTTGCACTTAGATTATCGTCATGGTCAGTTGATTACTTAAAGGTTATAAAATAATAGACGAGGTTAATGCCATATTAACTAATTAACAATAGGAAAAAATGTGACTACTAGTCTCAATTGCTTTATTTCTATATTAATTCCCTTACATTGTTTATTTATATCAGTTATTTCCCTTATCTGGGATGTGGGGCAGCAGAATGCAAAAAATAAATAAATAAAAATAATACTGTTTTTAACATTGAATTTTATACACACCATAATCTGACTCAAATAATATATTTAATAGTTTCTACACAAATGTTTAGACTTCAAATTTTTTAGAAATTTTACTTTTTAACAAAATATTGTCCATTGTAATACTTTAGTTTAAGTAAATCTTAAAGTCGATATAGTAACATGATAGTTATTCCCCTTTTAAAGAACTCTTCTTTTTGGATCAGAATTAGTAGAAAATGTTCTAGTGACATCCATTTTTCTTCATGTTAGTATGCCTAAGCAAAAAGTTATATCCAGAAACTCTGGAATAGTTTCCAATATTGCTCCTTATGATATTAGTGGACCTTCATCCACAAAAAGTAATGGCAATAGCTCTTTTGAAGTCCCGTCGACTTCTCATTCGTCCGGATTAATTTCGGAACCAAGTTCGAATTCTATTTCAACAGCTACCGATTTGGAACGAAAAGCTTCAGAACTTGTGCAATATTTCCTGATTGCCGACCAAAAGAAAATTCCCATTCGGAAACTTGACATCAACAACCATGTTCTGAAGGAACATAAAAAACACTTTCCTGTAGTTGTAGCAAAAGCTCGAGAAATGCTTCTTAATGTTTTTGGCTCGGAATTGCTAGAACTCGACGATAAAATGAAAGGTCGGTATATTTTGGTGAACAAGAAACACGAGGGCGTCCTTAGCAACTTGGACATGATGTGTCGCGAAGAAGAAGCCGTAAAACTTGGACTTCTATTTAATATTTTAGCCATTATTTATATGAATGGTGATATAATCTCAGATACAGAACTGTGGAAAACTTTACGTAAACTCGGAATTGATTCTGACTGTCGACATGAGATCTTCGGTGATATTAAAAAACTTGTGCTTGATGAGTTTGTCAAACAAGCTTACTTGGAATATGTCAAACAGACTAACAGTGACCCGCCATCTTACCAATTTCACTGGGGTCAGAGAGCCAAACGAGAACTCCAAAAGAAGGATGTTTTGGTATATGTCAGTAAAATATATGGCAAGGAACCCACAGAATGGAAATCTTTGTGGCAGGATTGTATCGCAGACGAACGAGGTGTTGATGCAATGGAAACATGAATGTTTGTTGCTTTTTTTTTTTTTTTTTAAACAATAACAAAAAAGAGTTAAGGCAAAAAGTTGAATTAAACGGTGAGTTTTACTTTTATCAAGATAAGTAAAAATAACATCCGTAAAAAAATTGGTTACGCTATTATTCTTATATAGTTCTGCTCTTTATGAAAATGGATTCGAGAAAATGTTACAGATGGAAAAGCAAAGTTGATTAAAGAATGGTGACTCTAGCTAGAGATTTATAATGTAGGTAGTTTTAAATGAATAAAAGTAAAACAGAAACTGGACCCTGGTGTTATGTCCAATACTGACACTTCAATTTAATTTACTGTCTGTACACATTATTTTACAATCTGGATCTTGTCGGTATCTTTTTTATTTTATTTTACGCATGTTCGTTGTCAGAAAAAAATATAGATGTTATTATTGTTATTGTTATCATAATTTCCAGTTTATTTTTTTTATTTTTATTTTTTTTGTTTGTTAATGATCTGTATTTCTTGAGAAGATGATAAAACAAAGCCCGATAGGAGCTCTGCTAACTGAATGTTCCAGTTTTTCAAATCATACAATGCGTTTTGTTGCGATCTAAACTTCGATACAATCAGTTTTAAGAACTAAAAAAATGTAAACAGTAAAACACTACTTTCCGATAATGAACTCTACTTCAACTATTTTTCCCACTGAATAACATTTTTATAAGGCGAACAATCATACTCCACAAAAATACAAAGTCAGGTTCCAGCTGAACTCTGACCATTCAATAACTGAACGCACTAGTTCAGTTATGATCAGGGTTCAATTTGACGACATGATTATTACATTATATCGAACCTCCACTTTGCTCGCTTCCTCGTTTGAACACTTCAAGTGTATTCACCAAAATACTGATTTTCATAAAAAGCAGGGGGAAAGGCTACACCGAAAAAATACATACAAGTAGAAAAATATTAATTTTAGCTTCACTGATTTTTTTTTTTTTTTTTGAAACGGAATACCACGTTTTTTATATTTTATTTTTAAATTATTAAACAAACTGTATCATTTTCAAAAGTTTCCGAAAAATAGTCATTTCTGTAAAATTCATAAAAAATTATATTTAGTAGAAATCTGTAGTGTACTAAGATTTTTTTTTTTTTTTTTTTTTTTATAAACATTTTGTGGTCCTAAGCAAACTGATGAAAATCTAAATTTAAAGAGAAAGAAATTCAACAAACTGAAATTAACTCCTTACTGAAAACATTTAATGTGAAAAATTAATTCATACACTTTCTATAATGACTTTTGTTTTTCACATATTTACAAAGTCCCTTCCTGAAAATTTCACGTTTCTATCTGTAGTTAATGTTGGTGCTATTATACTGCTGCAACCGCAACGTTCTGTGACAAAGATGCAAATCAAAACAATGCATGAACCAACAAATCACGATATGATAAAATTTACGCTCTGCAAATCATCCATTTATCAGATAAATGGATGATTTGCAGAGCGTAAGTGAACTTAAGAAAGACTCGATCAAAATTTTATCAATTTTGCCAAAAAATTAAAGTCCGACAATTACTTGATTTTTTTTTTTTTTTTTTTTTTGCAAGAATTTCCAAAACAATGTGCACGCTAAAATTCCCTAAATCTTTGCTCTAGCTGATGCATGAAAAATTAGATTTTTAACCAAAATTTTGAACGTGCTAGAAAGGAGTAAAAAAGCAAAAATACGTAGTTGGTCTTTCCTCATTTTGACGATAAAAGTTTTAAAACTTGACAAAAATAATTTTTAAACTTTTTAAGTTTAGGGCCCTTCTTTCTTTTTCTTTCTTTCTTTTTCTCTTTTTCTTTCTTTCTTTTTCTCTTTTTCTTTCTTTTTCTTTTTTTTTTTCTTTCTTTTCATTCATTCTTTTCTTTCTTTCTTTTTTTTTCTTCTTTTTTCTTTCTTTCTTTTTTCTTTCTTTCTTTTCTTTCTTTCTTTCTTTCTTTCTTTTTCTTTCTTTCTTTTTCTTTTCTTTTATTTCTTTCTTTCTTTTATTGGTTTTTTCTTAAATATATCTTTCTTTTTTCTTTTTTCTTTTCTTTCTTTCTTTTCTTTCTTTCTTTTCTTTCTTTCTTTTTTTTCTTTCATTTTCTTTCTTTTCTTTTACCTTTCTTTCGATTTTCTTTCTTTCTTTTTCTTGGTTTTCTTTTTCTTTTCTTTCTTTTCTTTCTTCTTTCTTTCTTTTATTTCTTTTCTACTTTCTTTTCTTTCTTTACCTTCCTTACTTTTCTTTCTTTTCTTTTTTCATTTTTTCTCTATTTTCTATTTTCAGTTCTTTCATTTATTTCTTTCTTTTTTCTTTCTTTCTTTTTGTTTCTTTTTAATTAGAGAGAGAGACTTTCTTTCTTTGGAAATCTTTCTTTTTCCTTTCTTTCTTTTTCTTTTTAACTGTTTCTTTCTTTCTTTTCTTTCTTTCTTTTAATTTAAACATATTTTATTTAAATTTATTCAGATTTTCTGATTATTAAATATTTGTTTCTTTTCCTTTATTTTCTTTCTTTCTTGACGTCGACATTTTTTCTTTCTGAAAAACATCTTTTTCTTTCTTTCTTTTCTTTCTTTCAAAATAGACTTTCTTTTCTTACAAGATCTTTTCATTCTTTTCTTTTTTCTTCCAGAATTTCTTTTCTTTCTACCTTTTCTTTCTTTCTTTTCTCAGCTTTCTTTGATTTTTTTCCAAACGCACTTTCATTTTTTCTTTTCTTTGTCTTTTCTTTTTTCTTTTTTTCTATTCTTTTTTCTGCTAATTTCTTTTTTTTCTTGCTTTCTTTTCATCTTTTTTTTTCCATTAAATAAGTTACATTTGGCTCCAATTATTAGCATTATATACTATTATTAAAATAAAAAACATTAGTGCCAATCGTTTAGTCTGCGTTTTTTTTGTTTTAACATCAGCCCACAAGGTTGGTTTATACTCATCTTCATAGAAACTTTGTGGTTTTCATTGGAAGAATGTTGTGGGGTAGTTTTCAACTGAGGGTTTTCACTTTTATAATCGGAATTTGAATTAATACTAAACTGGGAATACCTAAATAAAATAGTTTCTGGCAAGATGTTTACATTTCATTTCACAGAGCATGCTAATGTTTAGCTCAATTTACAAACTGGTATGTTGTAACAGTTTAAAACAGTTTTATTTAATAATTCTTCAGAATTGTTTAAAGAATTGTTTAAAGAAAATTTTTAGCAATAAAATAACATTATTTTCAGATTTTTATTTTTTTTACTTTAAGATTCAAGGCATATTTTTTATAACTCCAGTTGAAGTTTCAAATAAAATTTGAACTGGTTTAATTTTACCAGTGACTTATACAAATTTAAATATTTTTAATGTTCAAAGGATATTTGAGATTTCATGAAAATAAAGTGTGGTTTTATTGATTTAAAAATTATTTCCACAAAGATTCCTTCAAAAATATCATTTTCATAAATAATTTTTAAATAAGTATCAAAAAATTTTATTGAAATTGTTTTTTTTTTTTTTTTTTAATTTCAAAACTTAAAAAAAAAATTCTCATGTTTTTATATGGCTTAAGCAAATTTCAGACATGAATGTCTTTATAAACAGGCCAGGCAATCATGCAACTGGGGGCAGTTTGAATTTTCTTAGTCTATATAGCAGCATAGCAGAGGGGAAAATTCTCCTGTGAGATTAGTTTGATGTTTTTCATACCAAAACAAGAACCACAATGAGCTAATTGGTAAACTTGGCGATCATTAACAGATTCCTATAAATGAAAAGACAGGTATAGACAGACTTTGTATAAACAATTACAAATTTCAAGGAATGATTTTTATTTTATTTTCTTTTTTTTTTCTTAGAGAATTGTGCTTTTCAAAAGATCATGACTTGTATATTGTGGTTTTAAAAAAGAAAAAGGGATCCACACCAATTGATGATATCAAGCACAGAAATATAATTTGTTCAAATGTAATGTGTTTTACTAACATTTAAGCTGTCCTCATTTTGATTGTTTTCAACAAAACATTTTGACTATAGTCTTCATTTCATACCATTAAATAATCCAAAATTAAAGTTCATACTAAAATTTCAGCATCCAAATCTCTAGTGTGGTCTTGTAGTCGATTAAACTAGGCAGATAAATTCACTGAATATTTGACAATATAATTACATGCATTCTTTGTATTGAAATGATGCATTTCCGACAACAACATAAAAATTTTTGTTAAAGAATTTCTGCATAAAACAGGAAAACACAAACTGAACGTTTAAATCACCACATTCTATTTTTTTCAAAAAACTTCCATATTCATGATAATAAAAGCAGTATCAGTGAATATTTTCTTCTCTGTAAGAGGATTTTTCCGTGTAATATATCCTGCTATATTTTTTTAAAAAAAGAAAAGTACATTTTATTATCTTTGGGCATACCAGTTTCTATGGTATCAGATGATCAGATGTTTAGCATGCCAATTCATCCAACAGATATCCACATTTTGAGCATGGTTCTTCAAACATCAACTTTCAACCGAAGAAGTAATTTTGTTTTTTGAATATGAAATTTCTGAATAACATTTTGTACTGTAATAAAATAAGTGCCACCAGAATCTTGTCTCAAGTTACAAACTTCAGTTTCAAGATTGTCGGTGTTAAATTCTCCACAAATGACAAAATTCTGCAAACATCAATTAAACCATTATGCTTGATAGCCATACAAGTGTCTCATGTGAAGGATTTTATTCTTTTTCTTTGCTTTCCAAAATTTATTTTCTTTTCCATACTTCCAAAATTTGCAAGAAATGTCAAATTTCCATCATTTCAATCTGATACCATTCTTTTCAGTGGGTCATTTATCTTGGCACATCCATAAATATCTTTTACACACTCTATTTTCCAAAATTTAAAAACTTCTTTGTTGAAAATAAGTTTCTCTTGTCTCATCATCCTGTAATAATGGATGAGTTTTCATTGCAGTTACAGTTTCATTGCAAAACACTTTCAAACGGGGGAAACTTTTTCTCTCTTAACTGGTTTTGGAAAAACCACTATTTCTGTTAGTTTTAGTAACTTAAGAAATTGATTTTTTTTCATGTGCAAAAAATTGTTTCACTATTTTCCTTTTTGCTGTCATTTCTTCATCATCAGAATAAAACAGTAAATTCTGAACACACCTCAGTTATTGCAAATAATTTTAAATATATGTATATAATCGAAAGGCAAGTATAATCCAACCTAAGTCTTATTTGCAGTAGTATCAAATTTCTTGAGTAAAGCTTGATTAGTCCAATTATTGTCACAAATAACTGCAATTACATGACCTTTCAAATGATTGACTAAATCAACATTTTCTAACATTCTGAAACAAAAATTCCAAATTTAGTTTGGCAACCGATCTTAATCAAAAATTTTGATCCACAATGTAAACATTTGATCATAATACCCAATACAGTTTTTTCCGAATCTTTGGCAAAACCAAATAAGTTTCCTTCTTGGTATTGTAAGCTCACTTCATCAACTAAGATGATACCATTTTCTCCGATAACCCCTTCACATAAGGCAGGCAGTTTGTTTCCTGAATGTTGTTGTCCTCCTCTTTTTATATGAAGGGGTTATTAGAGAAAATACAAAGGATCTGTGGTCCATATACTCCCGAATAAGACCCCACCTCCCCCACAGAGGATAACATGACTAAAGACTGTGTGTACGCCATCCTGTGCATCTGCAGAAAGAAATATAAAGGGGAAACAGGCTGCCCCCTTAAGGTAAGGCTTCAAGAATACCAAAAACTGTAACACGAAGGAAGTGGAAAAATCAGGCGTGGCTGATCACATATGAAGAGAAAAGGGATATCACCACTCTGTGGGATCAGGTTGAAAATCATAGACAAAGAACATCATTAGAAAATTAGTGAACTTAAGGAATCAGCACATATGCTCGGCCACAAAAATCTCCTGAGCCGACCAAGCATAGAAATGAATACAATATGGGAACCAGTAATAAGGAGTACCAGAGAAAAGCAATAATAACGAAAATTGCAATATGAGCACTGGTAAAAAAAAATGATTGCTAAAGACATTAGGCTTATAAGTCCCAGAAATTCATACAGCAATATCCTTAAGGACACATGACACAGTGGATAAAGGCGTTGGTTAGATCCAGTGACAAGACCCAAAGAGTTGCAAATTCAACTGGTTATGGCAGTGGAGACAGGGGAATTAACAGGAGATAACTGATAACTGACATTCATTAGAACAAGACTAGAACAGCCTACCCCAGCAAGCAAAATAAAGGGTTCAATTCGACATTCCAACCACCTGAAGAAGGCCGGAGCGTACAACAACTGAAATGTTGTGATAAATATGACAACAAAGAGGAGGACGATAGTCTGAATAATGTAAATAGTGTACATAATACTTCATCTCAAAAATATAGACAAAATTATAGATTAAAGTTTCCCTGAATTAAAAGAATTGTATAAATCAAAACAGTGGTTAGTCAGCTTTTTTACATTTTCAATATGCATGTAAATTCAATATATATTCCAAATAATCAAGCATACTTGTGATGATTTTATATCTGAGAAAAGGACAATTTTTTGAATGCAGCTGAAATACAAAAAGATGTTTTGGAAAAAGGTTCAAAAGTTTTATTGAAACAATTTTTGTTCAACAGACATTATTGTACAGAAAAATGTTCATACAAAATTATTATATCAAAATTTATCTGAATATATCAAACAGAATAGCAGATGTGAGAATTTAAAATAGTTGTTAATAAAGTTGGAACAAGATTGAGAGATTTTAAAATATGGCAGTTGAAAAAGCATATTTTTTAAAACTTTCAACAATATTTCTTAAATATATGCCACTGTTATCATAAAGAAAAACATTTGTAAAAAAATTATTTGCTATATTCTAAAAAATTGCAAATTTATAATGGATAACAATAGTTTAGCAAATTAAAACACCGAGTAATACAATAAAATTAATAATGGTGAAAAAATAGATCTCAATAAAATTCAATTTTGTCTTTTTTTTTTTTTTTTTGCAGTCTACTCACAAACTTATGATAAAATATAGAACGTCAACTGAAATAAATTTGATGGGTGAGAATTTACTTTCAGAATGAATTTGCTATGTGTAGGATCAATGAAAGTCAAGAGTTACTAGCTAAAAAATTTGGTAACTGCGAAAACTTGCCTCCAGTTGCTTCTACGAAAAGTGTGATTGACCTTGTTCTATAGTGAAAAAATAATTTTGATCTCAAAATGTTTAAAAGTTTTCTTCTTACTAATGCCATAAAGATTATAAGATTAACTTTCTAGAATTTTTAGCCATTTTTCAGAATGCAAGTGACAGTTTTTTGTTATTTTTTTTTTTTCATTGAAGTGTGTTTTTGAGATAAGTAAATATTTTTATTTTCTTTCTATTCAGTGTTGAAACTTCATTTTATGAAAACATGTCTCCTGATTGGCAGATGGAAGAAGAGGTCAATTGAGTTTGGTAATTTTGAAAATGAAGGAAAAATTGAGAAACTTAATTTATGCCCATCTGTTAAAGAGTAGAAATGTAAACAAATTGAGAAATATGATTTTTTTAACATAAGAAATTTGTAAAGTTCATAATTAAAATTAAGTGAACAAGATATGGGGATAAATACTTGCTAATAGCGGGTTGAAGGAAACAGCTGGTAAATCAATGATTGCATAAACAAGACCAAGGACTGAGAAAATCCATTGTTGAAAATTAACATAATTATAATTAATGACTAAAAGTTAAGGCTGCCTTTTGCCTATAGATTTGTTAAAGAGACAACTGAAGCAGCAGGCTTAGACATGATGCTGAGAGAGAAGGAGAAATTACCTCCACTCATTTGGAAGTAATGGTGTGAGGTATAAATAAGAGAAGGAATGAGTTATACAGGCAGGATGATACCTGCAACCACTAAGAGGAAGAAGTGATCTCCCAAATTTGGAGAGATAATTAATATTGTAGACCAGAGAGCAAAGAACTCTTGTACAAAATTAATGCAGAAACTTAGAGAATTCCCAAACACCGTCAGCCCCCACTCCGATCTTGACTCGAAGTCAATATAAGTGAGATGAGAGACAGCAGCAAAGATCAGAAAAAGGTGCTACTGAGATCCATGTGACTTGCTGCCAAGAGAATTCCCAACTTTGAGCCCTGTTAAGTTTAGGGCCCTTCTTTCTTTTTCTCTTTTTCTTTCTTTCTTTTTCTCTTTCTTTCTTTTCTCTTTCTGATAGCACTGATAGGCAAAGTGTCACTAAAGAGATTTTAGTAGGAAGGGTTAATTTTTGTTATATAAAGAACTATATAAACCAAATTGAAAATTAACCTGAAGAATTTTTTCATTTTTATTTCACCTGCAAATACATTTCATTTTTTATTTTATGACACAGCTTTGTCATGGTTCAAACCAAACTACGATAAATGATGATACCAAATGCCCACTAACTCTGTGATCAAGAAACACAGCATGGGTGAAATAAGGTGTGAACCAAGGAGATTAGTGACAAACGACCCATTGACCAGCAAAGTATTGACCAAGTGTGGGATTGACTCATTGTCCTATGACCCTGAGGACAAAGATATCTGGTATAGGTGGCATGTAGCAAGGGTCATATTGTCTGGTCACTGCTGACCTAGGATTGACCAAGGGACATTATGTTACACATACAGATGGGCCAAGGACAAAGATTACTTAGTCCTCATGACCACTGTCATCCTCTTTAGTGCACTGAGGAAGGTACTGTTGCAAGGTTGGAATCCCTGGGACTAGTCTTCTCTCATTGGTTAATTAAGGCTGTCAAGAGATAGAAAGTTTGTTTATGTTATTCACTTATATGTATATCTTCTACACAAATGTACTGGACTGTATTTATATGTTTTTGAAACAAAGTGTATGGGTGATGAAAAGTGAATAGTTTATAACAATGTGGAATGCAACATTAGGCAAGTGAAATTTATTAAATTAACTGTACCAAAGAATGGTCTTAATCTAAAAGTGATGTGATGTATATATTGGGTTTGGAAAGTTTTCTTGTAAGAGCACCTTTCGGATTTAAACACATTACTCCTAATTAGATCACTAACAGCAGTAAAAAAAAAAGCACCTGGAATTAGAGAATAATATTCTGTCAGGGTAACACTAGAAAGCAAGATTTTGTGATCAGGTAAAAATTGTTACAGCTTTGCTGGAAAGTTTTCACTCATCTGATGTATTCACTTACAGTCTTTGCCAAATTCTTTTAAAGAAATAAATTTCAGTTCTTTAGAAAACTGCAAAAAGTTCCTAAGCCCTTTAAAAATTCTGAATAGAATAATGAAACTGAAGAGGGAACAAAACAGTTGTTCATATTTAGTTCAATAATATTGAATATAAAAAAAATATCTTATTTTCACTTAACTGAGTGAACATTTTGTTTTATAAAAGTATAAATGTTACACTAAATTCTATCTTTCCTTTTCACTTTCACTTGTTAACCGAAGGAAAACAGTTTACCTCCTCGAATAAAATATGCCTGTATGTGTCTTGCATGCAGATTACATAGAAGAAAATATGGCTGATCCAAAAGCTAACATTTAAGAACAACTTGGTCTCAGAGATCAGAGATTTTGTGGCTTATGCAAATTTCCAAGCCTCAACTATTCAGTAAAATGAGTATGAGTGAGGAAACATCAGAAAGGCTGCAGGTGCCAATGAGTCGAGTGGTCATGCTTTGTGCGTGGAGTTTTACAGTAGTCTCACTGATTGTGGTCGAAAAGACAAGATACAACGGTACATTTTTTTTACTGGTTGTGTTAATGTTTCCATACCAAAGCAAAGTTATAGGAGAAACCTTGTTCCATACCCACTAAAATACTAGCCTGTCTATAAAAGTGCAACATTATCCACACCAATTATAAAAAATGAAATGAAACAAAATGAACTGAGGTGCCTCTTTGCATGCTCTTCAAACACCTGTAAAATATATAATTTCTAATGAGCCCTAATCTTTTTCAATGATTATATTTTTACAAAAAAATTGGTTGGGTATAGTTGATATTACTGCTCTAAGCAATTTTCTCAGAATAAAAAAAAATGAATTACCTCCCTCATATTTCTTTACCTTGCATCAAAATTTGATTTGAAAATCATCCAAAATAAAGCATAGCATCAGAAATGCAATATAATTTATTTCAACTATTTTTTTTTCTTTATCATAAATAAAAACTATAATTTAATGTATTCCTGTGAAGAAAAATTCAAAAATATATTTTATTTTTATATGATGTTAGAATTAGAAAAAACTTTCCTTGTTTTGACCTTTGAGAACATTTTCTTTTGTATGCATTTCTTATAGAATGGAAAAATTCTTGGTTATTTACAGTAGTTTTGTAGCTTCTTTTTGCAGTGTTTTTACATAGAAACATATACACCCAAATTGTAGACTATCATGTGGATTCACAAAATGTTCCTGGTGCTCGATTCAACTTGACAGCCAGTTTTGTTTTAATATAAATTAATGCCCTTGTATTACAACTGATATCACTACTAGGCAGTACTTAAACCACAGCATACCAAATTTCTTATAATTTGTAGCATGCAATAAATAATCCCTTGCTGCATAATCCTATATCAGAAGAATTTTCTACTTAGTTTCATATTGAATATATATACATAAGAACTTTATTCACTACTCACACTCTAGCTTCATAAATGATTGCCAGTGCTAGGGGTTCATGGGTGTTCACACATACACACACACTCTGGAATCGATATGAGGCTTTCACTCTACTACATATCAATTTTTCTGAAGTAAAATTTCTATAAATTGAAATTTTTTTAAAACTAATTATGTACAATAATCATCAATATAAGAAATAATATGATTCATTTCTAACATATTTTTGATTCATTTTTACTTTTAAGTTTCAGCAAATTTAATAAAAATGAATTATTTCACCTATAAATTTCATAATTCTCAAACTTCAAAGCAGAGATTTTAATAAAGGTATACATTTTAGATTTCTGATTTTAAATTCGCAGTCCACAAATAAGCACGCTCCTTTTAATTTGTTTATAAAAAGTTAATTTTCTACTCACATAATTCACCTTTCTTTCTTGGGCCAGTACCTGCTTGTTATAATTATTTTCAGATAGTATCAGTGTTTTTCCCCAGAAATACCCATGAAGATTGCTTCATCAGTGACTGCTAGTGATATTCTTTGTCCAAATAAACTTGATACTTCCTTTCAAAAATCTTTCTATATTACAGCTATACATAACTGACCTTGTCATAGCTAACTTCAGTGTCAAGAGGTGCATTGATTGTTTTTTCATAAGAAAACAAGTTTTTTTTTTTTTTTAATCATTTCACCCCAAACAAGGCAATAAAGCCAATAAGACAAAAGGGGTTACTGAGTGTAAAAGGATATCAGAAAAAGAAAAATATTATTAAGGAATGAACCCAAATTAAGAAGACAATAGACAATGCATTTAAATTTTTGAAGATCAAAATTGGCTGGAAATGAAGCTGTGAGTGTTCCACAAGTGAGAAGTGCAAGAGAAGACAAACAAATAATTAGATAAAAAAGCTATTTATTTAGAGTCATGTTCAGAAATTGATATGGTAGCTCAATTACAAAATGAAATATCACAAGTCCAAATTTGAAGATCCAGGGACAGAAAGAAATGTTGAAATCAGATGTATTTCCAGATAATTTCATTATACCGTTCACACTGACCATTTCCTTGAGGGTGATAAGGCGATGTCTGGCTTGTAGCGATTCCAAGATTGGTGAGATATTTGCATAATTTCCTTCATACGAATGATGTTCCTCTATCTGAATGGATGTAAGATTCTCGTCTATTTCTTGTAGTTTTCCTATGTTGGTGAGTGCATTGCATTGGACGCGTGAGAGCGTATCAGTCAGGTTATAGTTTGTTCTTGGTCGGTACATGATGTCATACTCATAACACCTCAATTCCATTCTCCATCGTTTGATCTTGCTGTTCTTGATCTTTCCATGGCATCTGGCATCAAACATGAAATTAACAGTTTGCTGATCTGTGACTACCACAAAACGTTGTGCTGCTAAATAATGTGAACACTTTTTGACAGATTCAACTATTACACAAGCCTCCTTTCTTACAGAAAAATGTTTTTTTTTCTGTAGTCGTTAGTGTACGGGAAAAGAATGCCACCGGGTGGTTTGCTTGATTCGGAGTGGCCGCCATAGCAGTATCAGAGGCATCTGTTTCTACTATGAGAGGAATGTTTTCATCGACTGAGTATAGTAAGGCCTTTTCAATTCCTTCCTTAAAGTTTTCAAATGTTTTTTACCGTTTCTGAATCAAGAGGGAATGAATCAGCTGTTATTAAGGGTCAAATTTTGCCAGAGAACTTGGGTATCCACTGAGAGTAGTGAGAATAATCCAAGCACTCGGCTCAGTGAGGTTTTATTCTGAGAAACAGATAGTTCTCTTAATGGTCGTAGACATTCTGCATCAAGTCTAAGTAGGCCATGTGATATGTTGTAGCCAAGAAAATCAATGGATGTTTTAGAGAAAACAGATTTATCTTCATTGAGGGTGTAGCAATCTTTTTAAATTTTTCAAGTTCTTGTCATGTTCTTGCTGTTCTTCCCAACTACGACAATGTTGTCTACATAGGCATACACGCCCGTTAAAATATTTTCATTAATAATCTTATCCATTATCCCTTGGGAAATATGAGACACCGTTAGTCACTCCACTCAAGGAATTCTACAAAATTGGTAAAGTTAACCATTAGCTTTGAATGCTGTGTAGGGTTTGTTTGTTTTTTTTTTTATTGGTATCTGGTGATATGCACTCTAGATCCAATGAGCTGTAAATTTTATATTCTGCTATTTCTTGAGCCAGATCATCCCTTCTTGTTAATGGATAAGCATCTAATCTGGTAAATCTATTAATTGTCCTACTGTAATCGACTACAAGTCTCTCTTTGATGCTCATTCGTTACTATTAAGACATGAGCCTTCCAAGGGGATGTACATCATCAATTACACCCTCCTGGATCATTTTCTCAATTTCAGTTTGTATGAAATGCCTGTCACCCTCTCCAAATCTTTTAGATTTAGTTGTAATAGGTCTACAGTCTGGATTGATGTTGGAGAATAAAGACGGTGTGTCCACTAATGCAGAGGGTATGCTACAGGAGATAGGATGATAGATTATTTGATCTTTCTTAGAGCCACCATATGCAAAAGATATGGT